GAGCGTCACGTATTTTATAAACAGACGCTAGGATTATCAATGAATTTGAGTTGGAAGCTCTACTTTGTAATTTCAAAGGCAGAGTTTGAGCCAAGAAAAGGATGAGAAAAAAACAACGGAACGGGTGGTCACACTCACCATACGTATAATCAAACGATTTTCGCCCAATTTACTTTTGAAGGGACTATATCCTTAATGATATCGATAGAATTTCATTTGTTTCTTCTGCCTTGGTGGCCCATTAAGTTTTGTCGTAATTAAGTGAGATTTGAAGTTAAAAGTTTATGAAATGTCCTTAAGCGGTACTTGAAAATAAATAGGAAAAATTGTAGCACGAGGTGATGAAACAACTGTCCCGCCCTTTACCAAATAGAAAAATTGTATATTTTGCATTCCTCTAGGAAAATATCGTGAGCCAATCATCAGTATTCCATCCAGCGCGAATTTTTTTTCATTTCAAAGAAATCACTCTTTGCTGGTGACAGTCGAACAAACACATCGGTCAGACCCTACACAGGTGAACAACCGTGAGTGGACCGAACCCAGGTTGAGAGTTGAGACTGTCGTATCCACGCAGCCAATACCTCGATAGGATGGATATTAATTAACAAAACCCTAACGACGCCGTATAACTCAAGAATGATTGAGATGGACGCCGACCAGGCCGACTCGGGCCCGCTGGCGCGCTCTACCTTCCTACACAGTCGTTAAAGTCTCCATGGACACGGATTAAGGGGCTTGATAGTATAGATGTGGTATAGATCTCGCTCTAATGATACCACTTGTTCCCCTCGTTTTATCAGCGCTATTTCCATGCAACATTCTGTAGAAATGTAAGCACATTCTACCTGTGCGCACATGTCTAGTTTTTATGACAATAATCGAAAAATGTTGGGCTGGAGGAAATTCCATTCTCAGTGTTACTGATTTGAACAGCGCAGCGGAAGATTGCGTAACGCACTTTTTCGTCATTTTTGACCCCCTTTCTCTCTTGTGACGCTTCGTAACGCAACCCCGGACCCCCCTCAATAACGACATACCTAACTCTAGACAGAGTCCCCCTTAAGATCCCAAAAATTTTGGGAAACTGTTAAATATGTAGCTGTCAGGGGCGTAGATAGGAAATTTCTCTGGGGGGCCATGGGACCACCTCTCGTGGTGAAGAGAGCGGGGGAAGGGTGAGGATAATGGAGGATCCCGTCTTTCTGGGGGGCAGCCCCCCCAGGACCCCCCTAGCTACGCCTATGGTAGCTGTATAAAATTTGAAGTACTTTTATTGATAGTGTGGCAAATTTAATAACTTCTAAGAAATCAGGATAATGTACATTTTAGATTTTTTGCGTGGTATTTACCGAAATTCTGCCTCGTTTAAAAATAATGTACCTATCAAGAGTGGCGGTTGTCACTCCCAATCTAGTCACATAATCTCCTACTGAAGTGGCGGCATAAAAAGATGGTAGCAGACACTCTTTCAATTAGTTATACATAATCTGAAGTCCCCTGATCTGAAAATAATCAAAACTTCGAAAGGTATATTAAATGTTACTTTTTAACAAGCAGAATAATTCATTCACTCATACGTTCAAATACTTTGATCTATGCGTGGATTTTATTCATTTTTCTTGCCGATTATTTTATTTTTATCTTAAATACTGTTTTTATTTTCAAGTCAGCTAGATCGATTCAAACTGCACGAAATCAAGTCAAAATGAGATCGAGCTAAGAGAAAAGAGGTTGAATTTTTATTCCGCTAAGAGTCAACGTTCGAGATCAAGTTAAACGTCTATTTTGAGTCAACATATTTTTTCGACTTAAAAACTTTCATAGGATATAAAGTGTGATCAGAAGGATAAGTTCAAAATTGTTTCGAAGTCATCTTTTCCCATAGTGTGACTCGGTTCTTCCCCATTTAATCGAGTCCGGTATGTTTTGAGTTTACTTTTTCCTGGAAATTTTTTCAAATACATTTATAATAGGACTAAGAGCCTTTGCGTTCGCACAATTTCATTACAAAAGGGAGAAGAAGACGGGCAGAGAAAAAAGTGTGGGCCGAAGGGCAGAACATAGTTCGGATTGTTCGGCATAATTATGCGCTCTATTTTATTGTTCGACTTTTATCTCCTCTTCTGCCTGCCCCATCCCTCGATCTTAGGTCGGCATGTCCTCTTGCCGCCTTGTCTTAGTCGTAATCGAACAACTGCGTTTCAATTGTACATTTCATCATGAGCCTAACGTCTCATAAGAGTGTGCCATCACCGCGGCTCAGACAGAATTGCGGATAAAATCCTTCTACCTGATGCTGTCCGATTGTTGAAAGCATAAATTTAATAAGATCCTCCTCCACCACACCGCACCCCGTTTGTGCGAGGACGTCCACCAATAAAATAAGCCGTATAACTGCTCCAATTAGAATGTGGGCTTTGTGCGGGGCCTTGAAAACTGGAATCGCCAATAAAATTGGCGCATGTCGTAGGAGATAGTCACGGGGCTACCTTCCTGGTAATCGCGCGAGGGTGAGGAGGTGCAATCTTGAGACTGTCTTCGATCGAAGAGGCGCCTCCGACAGGGCCGGATTAAGGGGGTGGCTACATGGGCCGCGGCCCATGGCGGCAAATCTATAGGGGGCGGCAAATTTTGCCATTTTTTTAAATGTAGGTATAAAAAAAATTCGGATTCAGAAAAAAAATTATAAACGAGAAAAGGCGACTAAATCTTTAATTTTCTGAGAGTATAGTAATTTCTACTTTTGTTGTCTTTCAGTGATATAAGAAGCAGCACCTTTAATTAGTCGAGTTAAGAGAGAACCAAACACGCAATTTGGCCTAGAACGGCGCGACTTACCTGAGAAATGATGACGAGGACTTGAGATGAAAAGGAGAAGCCCTCGGCGCGGCGATCGGCATGTAACACATATTAGCGCCTACAAGACTGCACGAATACTTCGCGCATTGCATCAAACACAGTGCGGTCATTGCGGTCAGCGTGAAACTGATAGCGCCTACAAGAATGCATGAATACTTCACGCATTGCGCCAAAAACAGCGCGGTCAGCGTGAAACGCATAGCGCCTACAAGACTGCGTGAATACTTCACGCATTGCGTCCAACACGGTGCGGTCTGCGAGGTGCGGCGGCGGAAGTTAAAATCATTAAACCAAATTTTGTGTTTGTTCTTTCATAATTTTTTCGTTCATTTCTTATGAATGGAAGGCCTTGTCCACACAGAATTAGGTTTACGAAATTTAATTTTCGCGCAAAGTTCCGTGAACTTTTGCTAGTAGTGTTGACAGGGCTTTCCCCAAAAATGTGTCCAACACCAGTAAACGCGTCTTATGCCCCCCTCCCCCGCTGGCACGTTCATTTGATGGTTTTCATTGGTGTTTCAAAACGAATGAGAAGGGGGCGGCAAAATACTAGCGGCCCATGGGCGGTAAGTAGGTAAATCCGGCCCTGGCCTCCGAAGCAAGGGGGCTAGGTACGTGTGGACAGAGACAAGGAGAGCTCCGTCATTACTATCTTGACAATGGTAGAAGCTTTTACTTTCGGAATCCAATTTTCAATTGTTAAATTAGCCAGGGAGCCAATTTACTTGGCCAACGCCCCCCCCCCCCCCCCCCCCCC